CGCGCTCGATTTGAGGCACTTTTTGAAGATGAAAAATTCTGAAAATTGGTATAGACCTTGGTCTTGGATGACAATACAATAATCCGTTGTCATTTTGGGACCCGGACCTCCAGGTCGGCGATGACGGGTGTGCAAAGTCATCTCCGAGGAAGTACAGGTACGAAGGGTTTCTCTGGGTCAAGGCGGGTTAACCTAACCATTACTCGCCGTACTTCAGTAAATTAGACGTACAACATATAACAGAATAATGTTGTTAAAATAAAAAAATGTACTTTTAACTAAAAAGTAGAAAATTACAAATTAAAAAATTTTTTTTAAAAACACACTTTTCTAAAAAAACAAAAAAATAATGAAAAATTTAAAAGTGTGTGGTGCATCATACAAAACATTTAAAGCCGAGCTAAGTCTCACATACACTTCTTTGTTCAATCCTGTTTATAAGATAGTGACTGGGAGTATAATATGTCAAGTGTAAGAGCGCCACACACTTTTAAATTTTTCATTATTTTTTTGTGGCTAAAATGCACTTTACCACGCCCCTCACGAATTTCGATTTTTTTTTTTAAAAAAGACGTGTTTTTCAACGCTGATTTCGAAACTGTTTGAATTTTTGTGCGGAAACCATTATTTTGGAAGTTATAGCCTCCCAAAGTTAACGATTTTACGTTTATACGCATGCGCGCAACACAACTATATTACCGCGCGGAGGAGCGCAGCGACGAGTGCCGCTAACAAGGGTCACTGCCCATACTATACAACATAACTGCAACCAAAATGCAATTTTCTTAACCCTGTGACCCACTTGGGGAGGTGTTGCACAGCAAGTCGGGGGATATTTTCGATTTGCGCCTTGCGGAGCGGAGCGACGGCGCCGAGGAGCGTAGCGACGAGTGCCGCTAGCACCGCATCACTGTACGATGTTTTTTCAAATTGGTGGCTCGGTGCAACAAAAATGCAATTTTCTCAACCCTGTGACCCACTTGGGGAATAAAATAAAAAAATAAAATAAAAAAATTGAATTTCAACTTTAAAATTATTGTCCCCGTAAAAAGAATTTAAATAGGTTATAGGTACACGCTCCGCGCGGCGGTAATGCATAGTGGTGTTGAGCGCATGCGTATAAACGTAAAATCGCAAACTTTGGAAGGCTATAACTTCCAAAATAATGGTTTCAGCACAAAAATTCAAACAGTTTCGAAATCAGAGTTGAAAAACACGTCTTTTTTTTAAAAAAAAAAATCGAAATTCGTGAGGGGCGTGGTAAAGTGCATTTGTTCCTTTTTTGTTTTTTTAGAAAAGTGTTTTTAAAAAAAAAATTTTTTATTTTTTATTTTATTTTATTATTGTTCTGAGTTATCAGCATAATAATATAATAGCGTCGAGCTGGATCACGGATTCACTAGACAATCACAGTCGTCAGCAATTAGTACTATCTTGCTGGCCGGCACTCGCCTGCTGAAACAGTATAATGGTAAGTGGTTGCCGGCGACCGGTAACCCGGTATCCGAGAGACCGCGCCGTCGCAATCGCCAATCGTCGTACGTCGTCGTCGTAGGACGTCGCCGCCGCCGCGATGAGAGTAGTGAGAATTGATAAGCGGCGGGTCGGGGGATATTTACGATATTTTGCGACCCACCGCTTATCAATCCCCACTGTTCCGTACGCAAAATCGGTCTGAAAAGTACTTGAACATTTTTGCTTATAACTTATAAACTATCTAACCAATCTGCTGGCGAATTCCTCCGTTCCCATCTGCACAATATTTATGATCGATTGATACCTCATCCGACTTTATATGTTCAGCCGCTTGCCCTGTAGAGCTTGGCAAATAATTGACATAAATCAGGACGATTTTTCAATGTTAAAACTCGGTGTCCTGTACTCCTGTTATTATACGTTACTTATTATACGGCTACTCAGCTATTTTTTTTTACTTAGCTTAGCGCCACTACCGTCGCGCTGGACAGACAACTTTCTGGCAAGTTCGGGTTTTTCAGAATAAAAATCGAACAACGTAAAGTAACTTTAATTTTGTTAAAACTTAAAGGTCTTTTGAGATAAAATTGACGGCAGTGGCGAGGCCTCTTAACTGTGGTACATTATTATGGGTATAGGTATGTTTGATCCACTCATTATAAATATTATAATATTATATTGGTGTATCATGTATAAAAATAAAATATTATGATAGTATTATTATTTTTGTACACTTATAAACCTAACACTTTAGATTGTTTATTGCATTGTTAAACAATACTATTCATCTTTTAATTGCATTATAAAACAATTACAGTTAATGCTGAAAATTGCAAATCAAATTTTTACTTGGATAAAATATAAGACATGAAACTAACGTAGGTATCAATAAAATTAGGGATGATTCATACCAATTAATATTAACCATTATGTAGGTAAGTATCCAACTATTAGGTACCTAATCAATATTAATTATGAATTCTTATATTTTTAAAAATTCATCATAAAGATGTCATTGAATAACGGTAAGTGAATGGGGGGGGGGGCAAAGCCCCCCACAGCTTATATTGTCACCGAAAGTAGGTATTTTGCACCTAGTGAGCCCGTCTGCGGGCGTGCCTGCAAAATATACATGATAAGTAGGCACTACCTACTTATTACATATTATTTGTGTACTAATTATACTCAGAAATGTTTTGAAAATTATAATATGTTTGTGGTTTATAGATTAATATATTATATAAACTACCTACTATCATATTATTTAAATCATCAGTTCAAGATTGTTATTTTTATTTATTCCTCACATTCCAACCTATTAAAGTGGCCAGTAAGTATACACAAAGTTAAATAACTTAATAACTAATAATTCAAATTTGGATTTAGACACTTCTACAATTTCAAAAAAGGCCATCAGATTATCAATTTACAGGAAAATAGACATAACACAATCAATGAAAATCATTAAGCTGGATAGGTAGGATGGTAGGCGGAGTAAGGGTGCACGTATCATCCTTGTTATTTGAACATAATATTTAGTAAAAATTAAGTAAGTATGACATACAGGGTTTTTCGAATATTTGATTTGAAGGTTCTGGTTCTGATTCCAGATTTTACAGCTCTAGAATGAAGTGAAAATAGTTTATCAAATCACTTCTGCACTTCTGATAGCCAATAAATTGAGCACAGGCGACAAAGGTAAACACAAAATAATCCATGTAAAACCAACTTTTTGTTTATTCAAAAATAACTAAGTAATAATAAGGGTTCCGGTTTCCAATATTTTAATGGTTTTTGGATTCCGGTTCTGGTTCTACTATCTACTATTTATTTTTTCTTATTAATTTCTTATTATTGTTGTGTGCTCTGTGGTCTTTATGGTTATACACTTATACTGAACAAATCTTATGTCAAATAAAATATCTTAGTTCTTCTGTTTCTTTATTTATTAACAGCGTAAAGTATAAACATCTATTGACATTTACTGATGAGAAAGTATTAACTATTAACTTGGTAAATTAAGTTACCTTCTTTGAAGTGACTTAAATCGACTTGTGTCCTGAGCTAAAACTTAAGATTTATCTTTTAATATTTCAAAGTATTATTTTTTTGAAAATTACTTGTATCAGGAACGCATTGATTATTGAATAAATCAATCTTAATATTTCTTTTTTTAGTTTATATTTTTATCCCTTAATAGTTCAGTTTATGATTTAAGTATCATCCTTATTATCTTTATGTCAAAAATGCTCTTAAGACTTTAGGTTTAGGCAAGTTCCAAGTAACTTAAGGTTTTTAACACATTTGAGGGATTTATACTGCACATTTGTCAGGCCAATATTGGAGTATGGTTCGTTTGCTAGAGCACCAATGATTTCCAGTGAACTATACTCTGTCTCAAATAGAACAATCACTGTTTGCGCATTGTGAATAGTGAATTCATTGGAGCGTCGAGAACCACATGATCACACTAATACCGGGTCATTGGTGGGAGATGTGCAGTACTGACAATAATCGGCTGGGCACCTGATTAATCTCTTTTGTGACAGAGTATAGAAAGATTCCTAAAATTGTCCAATTATTTACTTATATTACCTCCTATTTTAGTAAGTCTATGTTTGGATTCTTTAGCTGACCATCAACATTAGACATTCAGTCAACTTCGCTTTTAATAATAATTAAATATTTTATATTTCATTTCATATAAATATTTTAACATTAACAATTTGATAAATGATAAAACAGACTTCCTTGTACTACTATCTAAATTATTTTAAAAATAATCTCTAGTTTCTTGCGTTACACGGTTCCTTCCACATTGCTGTCTCACAAAATATGATAAAACTCAACCATTCCGTTGTTAATTAATGTTGCAAGCTAACTTTGAATCCTTATTTTCTTATTCATAAATAGTAATACTAATGTGTCAACTATCTAATGTCTTACTTTTACTTATCTCAAATTATAATTATTGTGTTAACTCTTTGCAGTGGCAGCGCGAAATTGTGTAGGCTTTGAAGCATATTGTATAATTTAACTGTTTTTACCACTTCATTGAACCAAAATTAACAGCAGGGGCCATTAATAATAATTATTAATTATAATATTTGCCATGATATTTTTGTTGAGGTCTTACGATTGTATATATATTTATACACCCACCCACCTATTTCAGACATGAAGCAATTGCTTCAAATAATCCTATATCCCGTCGCCACCGACTCTTAGTTACCTTTAAAGATGAAAGGCGTTTGTTATCAAAAATAAAATACTCATAATTAATTAAGTGCACAAATTTAATTAGTTACTTAAATCAATTTACACAGTCTGTATATGGTTTATTATTAATTGTTTCCTGTAAGGAAAGAAAATATTATGGATTGTATAAAATATCTCATAATTATTGAACAACATGTACCTACACTTACATATTAGAGAATACTTATTCTAATTTTTATAAAAATAAAGTAATAAATAAAAAAATAAATTTTAAAGTCTTGCTTGGTGTTTAAGTAGGTAAAATATCACTCTCTTATTATATCGACTACTCTTCTATTAGATTTTAATCTATTAAATTCATAAAACACAAGTCTCCAATCCAAAATTGGATCTCGTATTAGATGAGATACCACTGCTTCGTGACTATAATTTTCGACCACTATAGTTTTCCATAAGAACTGATTGTCTATCACTGAATGATAAATTTTTTTACAGCATCTCATCAGCTCATACAAATCAGAGGGGTTGTTTAGTTTTGTTACAATATGTGTAATCAACTCCTCAGGTATTCCGCACAAACCAGGATATTGACCAACAGTGATTTCCAATATGGCACATTTGATTGGAACGCTAACCAAATCTTTATATTTTAAAGACAAATTAAATACATGTTCTGTATTTATACTGGAAATGCTTTCGTCAATTTCAAAATAAATGCATTTAGATACATTTGAAAAACTTAATGTTATAATTAATGAATCATGATTAGGAACACCAGTCAAATGGCATAACTGATTAGACATTACTAGCTCAGCGTTAAAAATATTATGATTTTTATGCCAAAATGAATTTAGTGGCATATTGTTTACCATTTTAGCTAATTTAATATTTGAATTTGTTGAGTCAAAATGTTCTGCTAGAGTAGTTGGAATAAAGCCAGTTTCAACAGTGAATACAAAAGCAATGTTGAATAGTCGCTCGTGTCCTAGACTGGTAAGTGCATTTGATAGAAGTGACGAAAACTCATCTGACAGTGAATTCATTTTTCAAGTACCTACATAATAAAAATAAAAATTATAGGAATATAATAAAAAATAATAGCACGTTAATGTGTGTTAAATTTGAATTCAATGATAAAGTGAAGACTGTCGGTCAGCCTATATCACCCATGACATATGTTGAAAGGACGCTACACCATACATTGTGCTGTATGCCTGTATACGTCTTACAAAATGTAGAACATAGCAAAAACTGTTTTGGAGAGGAAAAGAACCGAGAAGACTACAGTTATAACTAAGAAACAAAATTTCACTACATAAGTAAAGAGGAGAACTTTAGCTGTCAAATATTGTTTTTATTTTTTTGATATCAGTAGGTACTACAAAAAAAGTTTGAAAAACACAAAAAATAATGGATTTTGAAACAATAAAAATTTTTTTCGTATCAGTGAAATCAAAAAAATAAAAACAATATTTCACAGATAATATTTTGAACTACATTGTATATCAATTTGAAGTTTTAACTATAATTACAGCCTGAGTGGTTTTATCCCACATAAAACAGTTTTTGCCGATAACATTGCATTTACTAGGTAATTTTATGAATGCCTATTTAATTATTATAATTGTATATATTTTGGTATATTATATATTATTGTTATTGAGTCAATACCGAGCTTGATACAGATTTATGGTAGAACAATTTGAGCTCATTTCGTTCAAACTTGAACTTAAAATGACTATAGTAAAAAATTATGTTTATATATTTTTATTAGATTTTTCGGTTCTATTATGAACAACTTATGATAAACTTTTTATTCAGTTTTCAAGACTTAGCTCTACAAATTGAATATTAAATATATTTTTAACTGAAAATAGTTTGCAAATTTTCGTGATTTTATCAAATTTGAATATCAAACACTTAAAAAAAATTCTAATTACAAATTTTTAACATGTTTATATACCTACATAAAATAACATCTTATTTGGAACCTTGTATTACATCTACAAGCTATTTATCTGATCGAAACATTTTTTTTATCAATAATTAGGGAAAAAATTTCAATTGTCTATAAATAGTTACCTAATATCTTTGATCATACAACAAATTTTATTAATTACTGGGTAATTAGTATCTTCGTTTCTAAGTCACCACAAATCTTTAAACTAGGTAGGTAGTACCTACTTTTTTGCATTATAAAATTTTACTCACCTTATGTGTTTTGATATTATTATGATATCACTTGAAAACGTACTATCTTTTATTAATGTTTTTAAAAATAAAAGAATAATTTATTTATAAAGAAGTATTAGGTTGGACCTAATATAAAATTAGTATATAACTATCTTTAAAATGGTCTAACTCATGTAATCACAACACCGGAATACCCGAACGTCCGGAACCGGGAACACGTGAAATAATAAGTTATTTAATAGTTAATATTATTCACTTAACTAAGTTTAGTTTGATCATATTATAACTATTTAATATTTATTAAAAGTTCTAACATTCGAAGACGGAAAATATCATTGTCTGTATTGGAAATTGGAATTACAAATGTTCAATATCTGATAGTCCGTGATGAATGAAAATGATTATGACGATAATAAGAATTTGTTGATAAGATAATAAATCCTAGAACTGGAATTGAGCAGCACTGCAGCTATCTTGGAAAACATTGTTGCCAACATAATTAAATAATGTTAATCATAAACATATTAATATAATATAATTAATGTATTAATAATTATTAATAATTTTGTTAATATGTCTATGTTGTGAACATGGTTTTATTCATATTTTAAAAATGTTATAGCGTAATATAGTCCAAAATTAATTATATCACCACGATTAAAGATATTATTATTATTATACTTTAATCATTAATCGAGTCATCTTGAATATACTTAACGTAATATTAGAATATTAAATAGATACAACCTATAACCTTGAAATTAGAATAAAACATAACTAAAACACGGTCATATAGATAATATATTCAATGGCCATAACTATAGTGACTTGATAGAGTCACTATAGCCATAACTACAAGTTACTACCTACTCAATGGCTTCTGTCTAAAAGTAGGTATGTTTTTAAATACCTATTTAAACTGTGAGGACAATGAACGAGAAATGTGGAGAAATATCAAGCAGCGCGTTATGTTCTTATATTCTGAAATAATATTATGTAAATAATAAAAAAATAAAGTCAAAACATACCTATAACTGTTATTGAAATAATTAATGATTACAGTTTGGTATTTAGGTAGGTGCATCAGTTACATTTAAGATTGACGACGGTCAATAATGATAAAAGTACCTTACGAAACGTAATTAATTGTAATTATAGTTTTTAAATATAACGAGTGTACCCATTGCTTAATCTTACACGATTATTGTAAAATTATTGTAATACCTAGTTTAAACAGTGGTGGTTTTTTATTTGTTGAATGAGTTCGAATGATGAAGTAGGTGCTGCAGCAAATATTTTCCGACGTTCTCTATACATGGATTTTCTTATACTAGACATATCGTTGTGTAATAGTTCTGTAGTTTCAACCGCCATCAGTTAGTTTAAATAATATTATTTGTCCGAAATACATTCAGTAGCCTTTCGTTTGCAATTATTACGAACTATTTGTCGCTGAATATCCCGATTTTCCACGGTATTATGACTACCATGAGATATATTTTCATTTTCCGTCAAAATGTTGGATATTTTAGAATTAGTTTGAATAGTAGAAGTAGGTACATTGTCTTACCGTACATCGCCAAGATATATCTCCGCTTGCCATTACTCGCTGATGTCTGTACTTCAAATTATTGTACACAATACACAATACACCTTGATTTGTGTAAGTTAATGTAAATGACATTTTAATAATAAATTTTCGAAGACTCATAATTTTAACTTTATAGCGAAAACCAGACACATACGCACACGTGACACGATTGTAGCACAGACACCAACTGATATAGGTCGATATCTGGTATACGCGATTTAAAACATTTCACTTAATTTTCAAATAAATACAAAACGGCCAAATATAAAATATAAACTATAAAATATATACTATTTAATTATTATATTGTATATTATAGTTATCTTAAATGATTATAAGCTGCCATCGTAATGTGTTACGATAAGACACAGACAAATGCAACAACCAGCGTGACGCGTTGATGCAATATGTCGCGTGAAATGGGTTGTATACATGCAAATCGTAAGGTCAGTAAAATATTGTATCAGGTTATACAATTTATTTTTGCGATTTTATCTCACTACCAAGGTACAAAAGCTCAAATTCATTTTGCGCTTTTGAATTATCGAAAAAAAAGGTCGATTTGCGCTTTCGGGCTTCACCGAAAATTCTGGTTGGGCTAACAAAACTATTTATTTCAAATAACCCATAGGGGGCTTATATCTAAATCAATAAGGGTTATTTGTGGGGGGTGGCTAAATCTTAGTCAGGGGGGGGGGCTAAGCCCTACCCCCCTAGTTGCACCAATGACATTACCGCGGCTTAGATACAATAAGTAATCAAATCAGGTTCAACTTGAACCAACCATAATTTTTTTGTACGTATCTATTAATAAAAACAGACATGTAAATTTACATGCTTTAATTTTTATGTTCAGAGCGGAGCGATGAATGTATTCATTTTACAATGATGTGTTTTTTTTAAATTAAAATTTTTTTTTTGTGTCTGTCATCTTCACCTTTTAGGACAGTAAAAGTGCTTAGATTTTCTTCAACAAAAAATCTAGTTAGTACTTTGGCGGTATATTTTGTCAGTTTAATTGTACTGTCTTGATAAGCGGATTAAATACATTTTAAATAATAAAATTATATATTACCTATATATTATTTATATTGATACAGTTTAAGAAGAAAAAGATGTCAACGCAGTTTTAAAATTGTTTTATAATAAATTATAAGATGATTTATCACTGTTCTTAAACTTAAGGTAACTTTAAACTTCATAAATACCTTTTTTCTGTATAAGGATTTCGTTTTAATTTATATTTACTTTTTTACAATGTTTTTTTTTGTTATTATTTGTCTGTATTTTTGATGTTATTTTTGTTTCTTAAACAATGGTATAATAGACACAAAGGGTTTTTTGAACCCTAACATAAATCTCACAATGTTCTGGAAGAGTAAATTTAAAAAACACGAAGAAAAAAGAATTGTCATATACTGACTGATGTTAACGCCTCGTAAAAGATGCGTATAAGTATCGTATATTCGTAACCGAGGATAATCATCAAATCCAAGTCGGTGTCGTATTGTTGGACCACTTGGTATCTACGATTGACAAGCTTTTCAATGAGATTAATCATATATATTACTGTAACAGCACCAAAAAATAGTATTCCACAATAAATAACAACAGCATTGTCCAAGTTATAAAATAATTACACTTTTGAAATGTGCTAATTTACCTACTCTAACGGCATCAATCAATTTATTTTTTAAATGTCAGATTTTATAACTTATGTAGGAAGGTAGGTACTGTTAATTAAAAATTAATGTACCAATCACGAGGCACTAATGTAATGTCGAAGGGGAGTGTAAAATATTTAAGGATCCGATTAACAAATACACTTGTACTTATACGACGCGGCTAAATCAATTAATATAAAATTATTTCATCCTTGTCCAAATTAACTAAATCAATTATTTACGTGATGTCCTTAATGCATGATAAGAAAATAAATAACAATTCACTTATTATATATAAATTCGAATGCACAATGTTAACAATACACATATTATTTTAATATTAGTAGGTATCTAATATCTATATATTCTATATCTATATAGTACCTATATATATAACTCTTTGGTTTTTATAGAAATGGCATGCATCTAAGAAAAAAAGATGAAAAATTAAAATATATTGATTTCTTGCAAAAAAATAGTTTTGATTTTTGGGCAACTAATAACTATATATAATTATGACACAAAAACTGACCACTGACCAGAAATCGTGTCTAGTAAAGACATTAATCGTGTGGAAAAAAAAATAATTATGAAT